ATTTATTAAATTATTTTATACCAAATCATAACATTAAGGACAAAGTAACTTAGTTTTTGAGCAGATATCATAATTTTAACGCGGAATATTCAAGTCATTTCATAGATTTTCATAAACGTAAGCGAATATTTAATAGTCTTTATATAGATTTCAATAGGTAAGTACTAGCTCTTAAAAATTAAATATCCTCCTTTATTTGTAATTGCTTGTTAAATAATAGACATATTGGTAACATTACCTGGTTCAGATATACTTCGTAGACAATAAAATATATCTTGCAATCTTAAAAAAAAATATGTAATAAATATGCTTTTAATATAATATGTAATATAAATAACTTTTAAAACTATTTTTCTCACGTGGTGAATACTAGGTTAAAATAGGTAATAAAACGCCAATTCCATTTGCACTATGCTACACTTGTCAGTACTTGTATGGAGTAAAGACTACTGTGTATGAAATTATTTAATGATAAAAAACCTAAGATAAACGTCTCGAATGGTAGAAAGTCTAATATATTGATATTATTTTACTTCTAGAGGAATTGTTATTGTATTTTATCAATCAAAATATATTTTATTATACATTTGCACTTTAGATACTTTCATGTGTAGCGGTTTTAAGCATTTAACAAACAAAAATTTATTCGAGTCGCATGCGACGCATGCTCCAACATGTTGTAATTGTGCTCCTACCATAGCTCTTACTCATTCCAACTTGATAGAGTGAGTAGGAGCTGTTGGAGCATGTTGGAGCTTACGACGCGAACAAACCTATTGACTCGTTGACTGGAGTATCAATCATGAAACTTTTTTTCTTGAAGATGAAAAGTAAAAAATGAAAAATTTCTCTATTAACTTCAATAGTTATAATTTTCACTTTTCACTTTCCATTCTAGGAAAATTTACTCGAAATATACAGTACACGTAATGTATACTATAGCGTATAAAGTGAAAGCTTCCTTGAAAAGGAAGTTTTGGAACGTAACCCTAGAGATAAAATTTCATGATTGATACCCTGGACGTAGATACGCTTGCCACTTGATAAAATGCGACGCGGGAGCCAATGAACATGTTAGGAGCTGTAAGTTTATTGGCTACACGTCATATTTTTCCGCGTCTAGTATGCGGGAGCTATAACTACTTACTCCAATAAGCGCGTGAAGTGATTAGCAATGATTAGGAGTTATAGTAAAAGCATTGGCGCATACGACGCGAACAAATCTCTAAAATTTTTCTTTAAGACCCAGTTTCACAATTCACGCTTAATTTAACCGAGGTTTAACTTATTTCTCATCTTTTTCTAATTCTAGAATTGAAAAAAGATAATAATGAATAAATTGGTTAAGAATTAGCTTGTCAGTGTGAAACTGATTTAAATCTGTTTTTTTTATTTCTACACTCTCTGAACTGGTACACACGGTGCAATAAGTTGAAGTGAAACAAATATACATTTGTTTCACTTCAACTTATTGCACCGTGTATGTACATTAGTTTAGAGAGTGCAAGAATAAAAAACAGTCTTTTAATAACCAAATTTTTTTCTTTTTCCTTTATCTTTTTAAAAACGTGCAATTGCAAAGAACAATCAGCAACAGTCAGTTGCATGTCAAATTCGTTGCAAGGCATTTGTAATCATTTATAACGTTGGTGTGTAAAGATCGATTCATTCTTTTAGATGCAACACATCTAAATATCAAATGCATAAAAGTGTACATGTATAAAAAAAGATATCTTTAAGGTAATATTAGAGATAAGATGTAAATTACAAAGAACATTGCTTTCAATTGTAACATAATGTTTTCAGATAATGAAATAATCTCTCATAAAAATACAATAAACAAAACACAACAGTCTATCCTGGATAATATTAAGAGCAAGGCTTATCCAACAATTAATGAAAAACAGTACAATATGGCTTCAGCATCCAGTACAAGCGCACGTAGTTTGTTTATTGAGTCGAAGATGAGATTGGCAGATAGAGTGCAAGTTAATGTCAACAATATTGCTTCACTTGCCAGGCAGATACAACGAGGTTCCAGAAGTAATGAAGTAATATTTTATTTTTCTAATTAGCTTTTAGAAAAATTGATTGATATTGTTATAATTCTGTCTAAATATATCTTGTTGTCTTAATAGATTTTGACGCATGCAGCAAGGAATTTTGCACAACAGGAGCATGGATTAGAAATGATAGAATCCAATTTGAAGAAACTTGCACTCATTGCTACTCATTTGGAATATCAAATGGATGCGATTGATAAAAGTTCGGCAATGTTAGAAGAAGTTACTGAGCAAGTACGATCTATGCAACGATAATGTAGGATATACATATATTTTATGTTGTACATAAGAGTTTTATGCAATGAATATCTGCAGGATACATATATTTATATAAACAATATTTATGCAAATGTTATATTGCAGGATTGATTATTAATTTTAAGAACATACATTTTTCTAAATTTGTGATATAATTTGAAAATTATTTATGTAACATTGTTTTTCTCTTATTTTTTTTTGTTATCAAGTATATGAAGACTAGAAAATATGAATGAAATTTAATTTCTGTGATTTGTAGATTAAGAAAGAATATGTGTTGCATTTATTATTCGAAATATTAATTTATATATATAAATAAAAATATGACTTATTCTATATGGAAGGAATATGAAATTAAAATATTTTTTTAAAGATTATACTTCAGTATTTGTTTTTTCTTAGATGCTTGAATTTGTTCAAGTATAATGTTAAACATTATTTATATAAATATTTAAATAGGGAAATAATTATGTAAATATTTAAATACAAGAAAGGAAACAAGGAGTAGAAATTAAAGAACACAATATATCAGTTTCTTTGATATTTATTCCAGACAATTAGCCTTTAAATTAAAAATAATTATAAACATTATGATATATCGACAAACTCATACGTAAACGCACTTAAGAGTTTCTAAAATGTGTACACAAAATCTGTTTCTTGTTTTCAAATTGAAGATAATACATTGTATTAATTAAAATATTTTTGAAAATAGAGTTAAAGTTTAGATCTGGCCATTTTAGAAATCGTTTTATATCATATTTAAAAAATCGATGTAACGTCAGATTCATCAAGGATAAAGAATATCATAATGACCAGGACGATATAATAAGTGCACAGCTGGTATAGCACCTTCAGGAAAGTCATGGGCAGTTACTTCAGTTCCTGCACCTCTGTCCATGTAACGAACTCTAACACCAGTTCCTAGGGCACTACTCATTGCTATAATGTGAATATGGTCAGATTCCTTATACATTGGTTCGACCTCCTAGCAAAAAAAAAATATAATAAATACATTAGAATAAATATAAAAAATTCAACACTAAAAAAAATAGAATAGTGATAGTGAATAGAATAGTGACCATGATATAAATATAAAAAAGAGATACTAGAATAAATATCAATATAAAGATTTATGGAATGTTAATATCAGATACGAACCTGATGGCAAAATTCTGAAATAGTACGTTCCCCCTCAATAAAATGTTGGTAAAAATCAGCATCACGCTGTAACTGACCAGATGTAATTAATCTAAGATACACAACAACATAATCAGAATAACCTTGTTCATTGAACAATTTATGTAATTCCATATGACTGGACTCTGTGTCACCACCTACTTTGTCAATAACTTCCATAAACTGTAACAAAAATTCATGAAAACAACTCATTTCCTCACAATAAATTCTGCTGTGCCATCATACTAGCTAATACAAACATCATATACACACATTTATATATATTGTGCAGGCTATGAAAATCTTGTATATTATATAATAATATATATATTTTCGAAAAATATAACAATTTCATAATTTATGTTTAAAAGTTAATACATGTAAATAAAATGATTTAAAATTAAAAGAGTAGAGTCTTACCGTATCATGAAAGTCTTCAACTGTAAATTGGGGAAAACCTAAAGCTACAAGGCTATCCTTGCTTTTTAAAGCTAAATCACGAAACTTATCGTATTCATCTTTGTTCCCAATTAATTTCTCCAAATAAGCATAACTAAATGCTCTAAAGAAACAATTGCCATCTGGTCTAGTTCTCCTAATGTAAGAATATTTTTGAGCCAAGGCTTTTGCCTTTGAAAGATATACATCATCTTCCGCATATTCTTGTTCTAAGCTTTTCAGTGGTTCCTTTTCGCCAACTAATGCTATAGATTCCGAAATCTGAAATGTAGAAGATAGATATTAAAAAATAAAAATCTTATGGAAGTTTTAGTATTCATTCAAAAGAAAACATTCACAATTTATCAAATTATTATTTACGAAGTGATACTATTAAAAACAATAAAATATAATTGCTTGAATATAGTTGTTTTATCAAGTAATAAATTGTAATTAATAAAATAATCTTTATTTCACATTAAGCTCTCACAAAATAAAAAAAATACTTCTATAAGGCTAATTTGAATATATAATAAATTTTATTTCCAATCAAATGAATTAAATAGAACTAATACGTCTTCAAAGATACATTTTAAACATAACATAATAAAGGGTATATTAACCTCCTTCTCGATACGTCTCTGTTGTTGAAGTATCAACTCGTCCTGATTGACATCTGTAATAAAGATTAGGATAATAAATTACCCGGCTTGATTTCTCAATAATAAATTACGTTAAGAAACCTGTGTTTTCTACGGGTTGCTCCTTAAGCGAGTTATTTTCCATATCTCAGAAGACTGCTAAATTTCACAACGACTGTCAAATTATCAATCGTAAACAAAAGCTCGATGTTTCCATGTGAAGTTGAAAAGGTGTTTGCCAGTGTTTGCTTCTATGCTTCACGCTCTTGTGTTGGCAGCATTATCGAACAGATTCAATCTAGGTAGTTTACGTGACGAGTTAATACAGATGGTAATGGCACAATCGACTGGCTGGTGGCTGTACAATCGATTCGCCGCGGTATTCTTTGAATTCATCTCAAATTTACGTATACAATTTAATTATGCTAATTAATGCCGATGAAATGATATTAAAAAATGGCAATTTGAAAAAAATTAGGTTACTTTTGTAATTAAACACCTTAATTCAAATAAAATTTTTGTTACATTATTGCTAATTGGATATTTAGAGTTTTCCGATTAATTTGCTGTTGAATTTTCTATAGAAACATTTTCTACGTGGGAAATGATAATCTTTACAAAATGTTAACTTATTCATTATATTTTCATATATTAAAAATATAATTTTATACAATAATAATATTAATTATATTAATATAA